ACTGTGATGAGTCATTTTGAAATAAAACACATATTTTGAGCGGTGCATTTTCTTTCCAGCTTCATTTTTACTTGTAAATAATCGACTTTTACTGTGCGAACAAGCAAGACAATTGTGAATGCTATTCTCTGTAATGTGTTAACTTTAATTGTTTTGCTGGAATGATATTTGACTAAAACTGCAGGAAAAAGTAGGAAAAACTAGCAAAATAACAACATGTAAGTGCGCAACGTAGGGTAGAAAATTATGTGTCTTTTGTATCTGGCAAGGAGTCCTGGAATCGAACAGACTGCCGATATAGTAACGCTTCATCATTTTGTAATTGCTTATTATTAGCCATAAAACTTGTTAAGAATTTTAGTTTTCGATGACGATTAATTAAATGAGGGTAAATTCTTTATACGAAATCTCTGTAATCGATAGCTAACGGAAAAATTATTTGATAATCAATTAGGCCAAGTACAAAGAGAAGTAAGTAAGCAAGTACAGATAATTCATTGTTTTTTGAGCCTGGATCTCCAAACCTTATTCCAGTGCCTTAAAAAAAAGTAGCCTGTTCTTTATCAGCCGTGTGTTAATTCCATGAAGCAGATACATTGTCAATAACAGACGTTCCCAAAGTTTTCTTCAAGCATGCTGAGTTACACAATCTTATATGTTACTAGCAGTTTACTTATTTCCTTAATTGTAGTAACACTATCGCCACTAGTATTAATCTTCTTTCGTATTATATCATCTAATATAGATTATACATACATGTATAGGACAAATATGAAACCAATGACGTTTACCATAAGCAGATAGTATTGATTCTTTTGGTTCTTTAACTATTTTCTGTTAAAGGCGTTTCGTCTTTATTCAAAAAACATCATTAGTTAAATATGACAAACGATAGTTGATTCTGAAGGCAGAAAAATAGGAGATAAAATAAAATACATGTAGAACGCAACAAACTTTTCCTTTTTCTACTATATGCGTAGACTGCGTAATGCGTCATCAAAATACTTTGAGGTCAAAGCATTTTTGAGAGTAGATTTTTCTTTTGTTTTGTTCAATATCAACGTTCATCAACAAGCTGTCTTTGATAGTTCTTTTTATAATGTGTGACTCAGCTGCAAAAGTTTGCGGGTTCCATTTAGTACGATCGCAAGTGTCCAAACGATGAACAGCTATCCTGGAAAATCCTGTTCCATAAAAGACCTTCTAGTGTCTCGCTTCTTATAGTTACTTCTCTCTTTGCCTGTCCTATATTGCTGTTTGCACATCTGTAGTAGTCATTTGTAAAACACACCCTCAAGAGTAGGAGTCATTGTTTGGACACTTGTCAACGCACTAACTGGAACCCGCAAAGGACGGATGCGTACAAGCTAAAGAATCGCCCCACTTTTTTTTTGCTCAAAATGGTCCTATGAGCAGCAGAAAACCATGAACACAAGTTTGATTTTAGGTGCTTTCGAGTGGTTAAAGCCGTTCTATCCAGACAGGATCTTCACTTGGAAGCTGGTATTACAGAGCACCATTAAAGTCTCATGCGCTTTTCTTTGGCACTATAGGAGCATATAAAGAAATCAACCCATAATTAGAAAGCTCTTTCAATTCTCTACAAACTGGTCTATTCACAATATCTTCGTTGATTTGAAAAAAGTTATTAAGTTCAACATAACGTGTATGAGTAGAGAAAAACGCGAACTGTACATCATCTAGGTTAACTTTTTTCGAGAACACGAAAAAAAACATTTTTCTGAAATATCCTGTTTTAAAGCTCTTTCAATTCTTTACAAACTGATGTATTCATTCCTGATGTGTTATGTTTGATTGCAAGGATTTGATAGGAATGAAAAAAGTTAAACATATAGTGGGTCCAAAAAATTATTCAGCCCCCTTTCTTTTTCATTTTCTCGTCCACCACAGTAGCTAGAACAAATCCAAAAAATGACTTGTACAGCTGAAAGAATTTCCAACCTGATGAGGTGTACATTGGAAACTCTTGAAACCAGGGTCTCTGGAAAGTCCCAATCTCAGAAAACCAAGTCCCCGAGTTTGATCTGAAAATTGTTTGTAAATAACTCTATCATACAGAGCAAACATTTTGAACAACATGAGACGTCTTCGGACTCTCTGTGACACTTTTTCATGAAACACCATTCAATGTACGAAAGGTCCTAACGGCGAAACTACCTAAATTATGTACAGGTCGCGTTTTTCTCTACTCATGTGAAGATCCTATCTGGATGGAACGGTTTTAACCGCTCGAAAGCACCTAAAATCGCAGGTTCATGGTTTTCTGCTGCTCATAGGATCATTTTGAGCAAAAAAAAGTAGGACGATTCCTTAGCTTGTACGCATCCGTCCTTTTTGCAGTTGAGAAACACCTTATAAATTGAACTATTGAAGGGAGCTTGTTGATGAACATTCATACACCTTTAACAGAAAATAACTATTTTGCTTATGATAAAGGCGGTTTATCTCTTATTATCTATTTTAAAATTGTTCACCTTAAAAAATGGTTCAAATGTTTCTATGTGCTTTATTTGTTATTCAGATGGGTACCACGTATTTCGAACTAGGAACAACATTTATTTTAAATCCATATACAAAACTGTCTGATATTGAAGACGTCGTGGAAAATATGTTTGATGCCGATCTAAAAGTTTACAACGTTCAGTTTTGGGATGAAAGCTTCAAGAGATATATGGATCTCGATGAATCATCGCACAGACGGCTGAAAGAACGAATATCTGACATCGTTCACCGTGCATTAAAATTCAGATTAATTATGTTGAAATATCCTTGTGAAGCAGCTTTACGGCAGCAGCGATCTTGTGAACGTAAGTTAAGCCCTCTGAGGCTCACTCCATCTTAAGAAACAAACTACACACTTGTTGTGTGTAGGAAAACCTAACGTTCTTCTCCGATATTTCAGCGTGTCAGTATGCTGAGAAACTACGTTTGCTGTCACTTGAAGAAGAAAGACCGAGCGAACAGGCGGTGGAGTGGGACGCAGTGCCACGTCCGATGCAGCTAATGAAGTCAGAAAACGCCAAATGTTGTACTCGGTGTTTGAGTACGCCGATACGGGTGGATGACGTGCCTCTTGGTGTTTTTGAGAGTTGCATTTCGGAAAATAAATATTGTGAAACAATTCCTTAAAACAGGACCACACAGTTTCGAAGTCATTTTTAATTTTTAATGTGCTATGTAGTACGAATGTCTACTGCTTCTTGTTGCGATAATTTTGAAGTATCGAGTGACCGCTGTAGAATACACAATTTTTGTTCAAAACTTTTGTTGCAGAATTCTACAATAAAAGGTTTGTATACAGACCTTTTTGAAGGGTATTCGAGGACAAAATTAAGCTGAGCAAAGAAAGGGTATGCGAACAGGAAAAGCGTTTTCGATGGTTCGAAAACTCTCTCAGCAGGTAGTCTCGAAAACCCAAAAGGGTTTCATATCGTAACATTTTCGAAAACCCTTTTTAAGTTTTCGAGACTACTCTTTTTATTTAGAGTGTACAGATGAATTCTTTTGAACTAGTGGAATCGTTACCCATGTTAGGAGATGTGAAAAAAACGAACTTTCGTGATTTAGTTTTCGGTGTATCTGTAAGTTGCAAAACTATTTCGACCTATCTATTTAAAGATAAGGCCAACGATTAGGGCATTTTTCTTCCCCAATATTTTTCAAAAAGAATCATACAGGAATAGACAACTCGGAATGCGGGCAGAATGGTTATCTCAGTCTTTAAAGCTCCATCAATCCAGCTTCATTTGATAGAACATATATCTACTGATCTTTTTCCAAAAATTATGTTTTCAAATTTCTTTTTGAGACTGCCGCTTTAAACAGCGATTTGTTTTGAGTCTGACCATGGAAGGTCCCCAACTGAATCGCGAAGAAGCTGCCACCTTCTATCCATAGGGTTCTGTCAAGATATTTGAACGTTAATTGCGTGATTGACTCTTTTCGTTGGTGGACACGAATCAAGGGGGAAACACCTGATTTTTGGATTGTTCCGATTTTCACTGATTTTCAGCGATTTTTTCCGATTTCCTCTGACTTGTTTGAGAAATCAAGTAAAGAGACTGCGATAAATAGTGCAGAAACTCTTTATTCGTACGAAATAGGAATTATACATAGTGAAAATAAAGAAAAAAAGACATGCTCATTCTGGATTCACTGATATTTTTCCGTTTGTGTTGCTTGTAACTCCCACAAAATAAATCGGTTTTACGTGAAACTTCCGCTTTCATTTATAAAAGTTACGCCTGTATTAAAATGTGTTAAAAAGTCCAAATTCCTAAACACGCTTCACAAAAGTGCTGGTGGTGAAGGACAAAACTGGGCAGCGTTAAAACTTGGAGTGAGACCGCCTCATAAAATCGACTCTTGATGCAGAAAGGTCCGATCAAAATATTCAGCTACCAAACTTGTGCGACGTTTTGATTTTCTTGGCTAGAGCACGAAATCTACTAAATGAATAGAGTGAAAATGTGAGACCAGAAAAGTAAAAGAGAGGTGTTTCACCAAAACAAGCCCAAAATCTTTCCACTTTAGACTCCAGAAAAGCGCAGGCTAAGTGATCTTTCGTGCGCTATTAGTCGAAAAACAATCATTAAAAACAGGCGTTTCAAAGTTTCTATGTGCACAAGATCTAAAACAGAATTTTTGCTGATTTTTCAAACTTTTAGCGGTCGAAAATGATCTTATAAGATGGTCAGAGTATGTAGTGATTCGATTTTGAAAGATTTTAAAGGATTTTCAGGGATTCTCAAGGATTTTTGGAAGATTTCCAGGGATTTTAAGAGATTTTCAGCGGTTTTCAAGGATTCTAAGAATTTCAACAGATTTTTATGGATTTTCAGATTACAAAATATTTTGCATGCCCAGAATCAGTTGTTTCTCCCTTAAGACGAATTAAACAATTATGCGAATTCGTGACGCGTGTACTTGCTGAGTATGACCATCATGAATATGTTGCACACTATAATTTAATCTGCTAGTTTGTTGAATTACTTTAAATGGTCCATAGTATTTTGGTGAGGCTTGTGTAAATGTTTAGGCACCATTTGTTTCATAATCTTTTTCTAAAAACAAAATATGTTTGCTCATGGAATCATGCCTCCAAGTCTCCTCTTTCGAATGCCGAAAATCTGTACTCTCTCGCTGCTTTCTATTAAAAGTTATTGAAAAAATAGCAGAATAGTATTTCAATGTACTATAGTGCATTTTCTAGAGAATTTTATTCTCTACAAGATGTGCTAAAGATTGCTCTGGGCCGATGGAAGTTTTTGTCATAATAATTGTTTTACTGGAAAAATTAGCTTCTTTTTTTTGTTCGAATGATACTTTGTTTAGTTCTTTTCGGCAATGAAAAATTTATTTAAGACCTGAACAATATCAGGTTTTGTTGAGTCTTTTGTGCTCATTCGAATGATGTGTAATTTAAGAAAATCAAATGGATGATAATGCCGCTACAATTAAAAGAAGAAGAAAAACAGAATTTTTCAATTTTTGAAAACTTATTGGTTCCATTTTCGCTGGCGAAGCTGGAACTATTTGAACAGCTCTACTTGAGCTCAAGCTATTTGATGTAATCGTGCGAGAGATTTTCGACCGTGGTGAATGACGAGACCCTATTCAACTAAATGTATTATAAACACTATGCGTAATCATCTGAAAAACAACACAGCGAGACACGATCAGCACAACGATCACTCTCGATTCGCTATGTATTACTATTTCGTTAAAATATTTATTCGCTATGTATGCATTAGTTGACGCTACTAATGTATACCAAGCTGTGGATTTTGCCTGTTTTAGAAAACTAATAAATTGGGCATAAATAGTCATTTGCGGATGATAATTGAATAACTGAAATGGGTACGTCAAACGGTAGGATTGGATCATGGCCAAACTTTAGCTTAAAGGGTTCCAGCTGAGTTGTTGCTTGGGGGTGTTGTCAACACCTCTGCCGCCAGCACACTGACATTGAGATCTCCATGTGTTATATAGACATTATAGACATCGTAATATCACCAGATTATATAGACATGAATGTTTCGTTATACCAAGATGAATATAACGGTAATGGATGAGTAGTCATCGTTCA